ATACATTGTGCGTATACAGCTTTAAGTAGAAGAATTCACTGATAACTAACTTTGTAGTGTTTTATGATAAATAATGTGTTATACAATTGAGTTTAATTTTGCATTATAATTTGTCTTTTTTATTTTTATAGAAAACTTATTCATCTGAAATTGGAGATGTTTATATAATGACAAGTCGTGAATATGATCGACGATTTTCATCACATATTGTGAATATTTGACTTTTTTTCTTTGATTTCTAATAGAAACTAATGATTCTTATTTTTAAATTCATTTAGATTGATTGGGTTCTTTTTACTGCTATGGCAAGTCCATGTATTGTTTTTCCATTTTTTCTTTGGTTTAAAAGCAAAAGCAAATATGAATTATTAGTAATGAAGGATAAACAAACAAAAAAAGCTCAATAGATAAATAAACATTAAAAAACAAATCAAATATATTTGTTTATTCGACGTGCGATGTTCTTCTACTTTTTCTTTTCATTTTTTAACATGTTATGTCAACGGTGATTGCGTGTGTGTGTGTGTGTGTGTGTTCTTGGTAGTTTCGTCGTTATGGTTATTGTTATTTGTTGCAAACGAACTATCTTTTGTTGTTTGTTTTTAGACTTGCCGTCGATCTTTTCTTTTTTCTCTTTATTGTTATTGATGTCGAAAAAAAGAAATATGAGAAAATCAGTTTAAAAGAACATCATTGTGCTAAAATCTTGAATTTAAAAAAAAAACTTTTTAGAAAATTATGGATACAGAAAAATTCTTTGCTTCTGACAAGAATTTTCATTTGAAAAATATGTCATGATTGTTTTTATTAATATGGATGAAAGAAGATATCATAAACTTAGATTGACAAATTTGTATTACTGGTCTTTAATAGTAGAAAGTCTATTAGCATTGTTTACGTTTTATTTTCTCTTGATCACTCGAGTGACCATTGGTAGAATGATTTCAGAACAAAAAAGAAACATGAAATTAAAAAGTTTTGGAAGTATGTTTTGTGTTACTGCATCTTTGAAAAAGATGGATTATTCAGACAATTAAGTATTGCTGAATCATCCAATTGCGATCTCATATTTTGCTTTGCAGACATGGATGGATTTATATAACCCTATACTCATCAAATCTGATGCCAAAAGTAAAATAGTTTACATGAATAGATGGAAAATTTTTTGCTCTATGCTCCTATAACTTTTTCAATCTTCTTACGACTATCTTTCACGAGAAAAAACACTTAGAACTAACACCTGTCGATCCGTTTGGATGTATTATTGAAAATGATGTTTTCCAAAGCCAAATCTGATTGATGAGACGTTCGTTCTCATTTCGTCGAATGTAGAGTTTAACTCGGAACAAACAGGTATAACTTTTCATTTGAATAGTGAAAACTGTTATGTAATTCGTATGGAAAAAAAGGTCAATGACAACTGTTGGGTAGACATTAGATTTTTCCGTGTTTTTACGCTTCTTAATTCAAACTTGTTCTCACAAATATTATTTCTAATATTTTTAAATGCATATCAAAAGATGGAGAATTTTATGGAAAATAATATTGTGGCATAGTTAAAATTTCAGTGGGATTGTTATTAAAATTTATCATTTTTTTATCTTTCGCAGTTGGACGATTGAGCAGAACTTAACCCTTTACCCCCCACGGCGGTTCCAGAAGAGCCACCGATAGAATAACTATATAAATGGAGTACTAGCGTGCCTATTGTATGGTCTAATTCACTGAATATCTACCTCTTTGTGTAGGACGATTTAATTGGCAGGTTAACCCTGTGATGGAATGAGAGAATGGAACGACATATTAAGCGTTGATTTGTTTTTCTTTGACTACATTATTGAATGAGCAAAAGTAACATCTATCCCATGTTATTGGAATAATGAAAAACGGAGGGAATAAATCAATAAAAATTAATGTCGAAAGAGTGCATGTATTTTTGAGCACATTTTCTTAAATAGGCAGCTACCATGCTTTGAGCTGTTTTATAACTTCTGAAGTCATTTAATTCAAAATAAATACTATTTTAACTTCTTATGAGCTGAGGTTTATAATACATATATTACCATTTCTCTTAATTACCCTAAAGATGCCTCATAATGGTTTCTTGGTCAGTTATGTGCGTTAGTGTGTGCAATTGACCAGCTTATCGTGATGCATTCGAAACATATCTAACTTCTTAGTACACACTTTCATCAATTTATATCACATATAAATTCCAAAAGATCTTTATTGACTGTTAGTAGACAACGATTTATTTCGAAAAATTCGGTTTTTTTCATTTTCTACAAAATTATCGATTTTGTTGGCCCAATATTTCAAAGACGGAACAATGAAAAAAATTATTCTTTTTACTAATCGATAGCTCATAAAGTTCACTACAAAAAATATTCTTATCATTTTCAAATCCCATGCTTGCTTTATTTTCTCCAATCATTCTACAAAATGGCAATTCCAATTGTCAATGTGGAGTAAAAGGTTAATTATCTGAATTTTGTACGAACAAAACAATTTCATTTAAAAAAACAAAGTTGCCAGTTTTGTAGAGAGAAATTCTACATTGAATAAGGTCAAATGTAGATTTTAACATTACTTTAAAATGCCTCACAGACAGAAAATAAAAATGACCAATTTTATCTAGACCACCCGTTATTTTGTGATATATAATGATGACAATGTCAGCTACTGGTATCAATATCATTTGAAAATTTTTCACAAAAGCTAACTAGAAAAAAGATAGTAAAACAAAGGATAGTCACTATAGATTTTCCAGAAAACCAAATCTTTAGTTTTTCAACACCTACAACTCGAGCATAAAATTTATTCACGCCACATAAAATGATAGAGCGAATCATTCTTTACAAAATGAGATGTGTTCGAGTCCTCTATGACACTTGCTGGTCGCACTACATCATATTTATGGAAGGTCTTATATAGAATTTTTGTCAAGTCGTTTTCAACCCAATGGACACTAGAATGACCCAACTGCTGCTGTTACAAATGAGAATGTGTCTAATCGATCTATCCATACTATGTATATATTAGCCATACCGATATTCTATTCCAATGATTGTTTCATCCGTGACACTTCCGTAATTGCTATCGAAGGTTAAGCATTAATAAAAATCGACATGTAAAGAGTATGTTTTGAGAAATAATATATTATAATAAACATGCGAGTATACGCTGTCAATTGATTATTAGATCTTCAAAATCGTGCAAGAAAATTTTCAAAACTTATATCATCCGTTTCAAATTCTAGATATAGTGAGAAACAAATGATTTATAAATGATCTTATTTGGAGACCGATTATCTTTAATAACAAGATCAGAAGTCAAAGACCATAAGTTTACAAAAATTGAAATTTCGATAATAACAGAATCATCTCAAATTTGAGTTTAACATGTTGAAGGAAACATTGGTTTCTAAATATGTGTGAATGTGAAAAAATGTATAATTAAAATTAATTTAATCTAAACATTTGATTTATTTCGTGCAAGAATAAATAATGTATATCAAAACAAAACTGATAAACACAAAATGTATGAACAAAAAAAAGATCTGTGAATCTAATTTGCTATCAAAACATTTACAAATAATAAATATTAGTTATATTTCCGTTTTCTGTTTTCACAACATCTAAAATCCACAATACAATAAATCAAAAACGCACAAACTCATATAGTATTTGTAAGAATATTTCATTTCCTTAACTTGAGCCTTTCTCGATAACCATACAACACTATTTCAAACAAGCCGATTCTTTAAACTGATTTTACATTTTTATTCAAAATCTATTCCATCACATTTACTTTGATGTAATAAAATCTAATAATAGGAAAACATCTTGTTTAATATTATGATGATAAACATATGAACTCGAGTTGAGAGTATTGATGTAATAGGAAAGAAAACAATTTTTTACATAGATATGAAACAAATCTCTTTATACTCAAAATGATCTTGTATATAAAAAAAAAAAGATCAGAGATATTTTCAAGCCACTTATTGTGTTGAATATGTATAAATATATTAAACTTCATCCATGTTCAATACACCTTTCGATGTTCGTCTACTGTTTAATTGTGTACTAATAATTGTTTCACTACTAGGTCGTTTTGATGAATTACTAATTGGATATGGATATGTTTGTGTTATAGAAGCTGATATACGTCTACTTTGATTATTTTGACGTCCATGACGACCATCTCGAAGAAAATATGCGTTTAAAGGAATATTATTTTTATTTTGTCGTCGTCCTATTCTTCGTCGTAAATGATTTTCCCTATGATTTGATTTAATTTGTAGAAAATC